AGCTTAGAAGTTGGGTAAAGCCTCCAATCTTTCACAATTTTTGACTGAAAGAATATCTTAGGGATAACCGATCATGAAAAGAAAGGAATTATTGAATATTTTCAGGCCTGTTGCTTGATTTTTCAAGTCTAGGATGATCCAGTTACCATTTTTTGAGAATTAGGTATTCACTAGGTATAATATATAATATGCTTTATTTTTCAAATCAAATTAAATGCACAAACACACACACATACACATATATACAGATATAAAATATATATTTTTCAAACCAGTTTCTCTTTACAAATTAAAAAATAAACTCCCTGTAGCTAAGTCACACAGCTAATAGGTGGCAGAGTTGAAATATCTGGATTCAAAATTAGTACTTCTTTCTACTTCCAAATGAAGCACAGCTTAAAATGGCACAGGCCATTTTGGCTTTAAATAGAATGGCTAGATTTTATAGTATTATGGGTAGTTTTATTATCTTATCATCTTCATAATACTATTTATTTAGATAGTGACATGTTGCTATCTACTCTATATTCATTATTCAGTATCCATAGCAAATAAAATGTTTAGTCTCATGAACACTGAGTTTATACCATATACTGTATATTCATAGCAATAGTCAACAACAAAAGCCATTGTTTATAAAGCTTAAATCAGAAAATAATGCTGTAGAGAGATTCTTTTAAAGCTACACATTCATGAAGATTATCTTCAGCTAAAGAAAGATAGTATGACAGGGAAAATAATTCCATTAAAAAGCCTGTAGATTCTGTGAAACTAACTTTTTTGTCAGAGACATAAATAGAAAATTAAGACATCAGAGTGAGGAAAGGACTATGTACGTCTGGAACCTACAGATGTTCTTGAGAACAGAAAATGTTTAAAGAGAAAGGAGATTTTAAAAAACCTCTTAATTTTCTGGAATCAAAACATAAAATACAAACTTGTGTAAGAGTTCTTAGGGAAATTTTTTAAAATTGGTAATCCATTTCTGACTACAAACAGGTTTTCACTCTTAGGATTCTATTCTGCTAACTACAATGCTGAAGAAATGTTACGTTCTGAGTCAACCAATTTGAAATGTAAATAGCAACAAAGAAAAACACACTTTAAAAATATGTCGGGTCTACCCAAAATAGAAACAAATTTTTTCAGATTGTCTTAACTAAAGAATTTCTGCATATTTATTAAAGTTGTATTAATGGAAACAACTATTTTATTGCTTCTCACAAAAACATTACTGATCTATCCATCTATCTATCTATCTAAACTATCCAGCTACAGTTGCAATAAACAAATAAATAAAACACTTAAAGATTACGGATTCAGTAACATTGTTGTATAAAATAATAGCTACAAAACCACATTTAAATAGATATTGCTTTAGAAAAGTATCTAAAATTGAATTGCTGATTCATGTTTATTTTACTCTAATTCCTGGTAAATGATGGTAGAAGACTCTAGTCTCTGTAATACACTTGCCAAAGTGGTGTATGTTTGGCGTGGAAGCAGAAACTCTATGGAAATCTGTTGGGTTAAGATATATCATTAGTTTTCTGATTCCAATAGGACACAAATAATAATAAAAAAAATAGAGCTAAAGTTATGCAGATCTAAATTTTAATTACATAATAAAACACTTTCTAGAGGTAGAAGCTATTAAACATTAAATGAATTTTAAGCAAGAAATTTGAGGAACACTTTCACTGATGGTTTTTAAAGTAGGCTATCATTTCATCTGAGGGCTTATTTCATCCATGAGGGGCTTATATACCCTCCGATGTTCTTTTTCACTCTGGAGATCTATGAGAAAGCTGAAGATGGTAATTTTTTCCCCAGATTTGTAATAAAGTCAAGAACCAGGGTTTATTTATTTAGCATCTTATCTTAAAAACACACAGACAGAGGAGTCAGGGCCAAGATGGCAGAGTAGTCAGAGGCTTCCTGTGGTCCCTCTTGCAACAAAGACCCAAAAAAACAAGTGAATTGATTATATACGACAATCTAGGAGCCCTGAACATCAAAGGCAAAGTTGAGGAATCAGACTGGTGGCAGGGGGAGGGAGAGACGGTTCTGAAGCAGCAAAGAGTTGCCAGATCTGACCCAGTGGGAACCAGCACCCTGCAGGCCAGATTGGCTAGCACGTGTGGTTAGGCAAGCAGTGGCACTTGAGATATGTTTTCCCCATCAGAAGAGACCAAGCGGCAGAGAGTGTACTCAAGCCTCCAGAACCAGTGAAGAGTGGTGCTCAATCGGCAAAAGATAAGTACTTGCGTCTAACCCACCATGCGGATCAAAAAACACCCCGTTTGGGAAGAACCTCTCTCCCATTTACCTGTATCTTCCCTATTCTGCACTGAGTCCTGGGCCAGCTTCAGCGGCTGCTGCATCCCCTGGACTGGAACTAGGACCTGTCATGCACCCTGAGCCATTCTCATGGCCTTGGAGAGGGAACAAATTAATAAACAGGGAAAAAATAATCTGCCAGCTCCCCTAAACTGGGAACTCAGTCCAGGCACAGCTCCTTTTCCTAGGCACAGGCATAAGGGGTCCACGGACTTTGAATGTCTTTCACTGTTGCGTAGACCTGTGTGGGCCCATTTCAACAGCGTAGGCCCTCATTAGCACAATACAACAGGGTATATACCTGAAGCCTAACTTCAACTGTATCCAGCTATATGGTGGAGTGGCAGGTTCATGACACTTGACACTTCTCTGCCCATTAAGCAAGGTCCTCACCTACCCACATCAGGGACTTGAGGACTGGCGGCTCCACCTACCCCACCTAGCCACCTGCAACAGGGGTCTAAGAATAAGTGGTGCCTCCAAGTCCTTATAGCCAACAGCATTGGGTGCTCATAGTCTGGCTGCAAAACCTATCCACCAACACACTCTAGGGAATAGGGGCATGCTTTCCTCCCAGACACTCAGGGGCAGCCATCAGCCCCCTGCCTTGCTCTGCACATGACCCCCTACTGCAGCCAGATATCTGTGCCTACTCCAATTACCCTTGCCCATCTAGGACTGTAGGTGAGAGCCTGCACCACACACTTGGTGGCTGACTACCTAGATACCTGAGCTGAATCCACACAAGAAAAGTAAACAGACTCCTGGGCTCACATACCTAGTAACAGATCTAACCACCTGGTGATAGGACGTTAGAGTTTCAAAGGTGCCAATAATCAAACTACTTCACATGAGCAGCCTATTTGGGCATATCAAAACAAAACAAAACAAGAAGCTTGGACACAGTAAGCAAACATAAACTAAATAAATATAATAACTTATAGATGGTTCAGAGACAACAGTCAATATCAAATCACATAAAGAGGCAGGCCATGATGGCTTCAGCAAGTTCCCAAATCAAAGAATTAAGAAATCTTCTGGAGGAAGAGAGCTTCTTAGAATTACCAGACGCAGAATACAAAAGATTAATACACAGAACTCTTCAAGAGATCAGGCAAAATGCAGACCAAGCCAAGGAACACACAGACAAAACAATAGAAGAACTTAAGAAGATTATAGAAGAGCATAATGACAAATTTAACAGGTTGCAAGAATCCATACAGAGACAGCAAACAGAAATCCAGAGGACTAACAATAAAATTTCAGAATTAGACAACTCAATAGAAAGTCATAAGAGCAGAATTGAAGCAATGGAAGTCAGAATTAGTGAGACTGAAGATAAAGCACTTGACACCAACTTATTTGAGGAAAAATCAGAGAAAAAAATTAAAAAAATGAAGAAACCCTAAGAATTATGTGGGACTCTATCAAGAGGAATAACCTACAAGTGATTGGAGGCCCAGAACTGGGGGATAACAGAAAATACAGAGAGAATTGTTGAAGATTTGTTGGCAGAAAACGTCCCTGATATCATGAAAGATGAGAAGATATCTATCCAAGATGCTTGTCGAACCCCACATAAGGTAGATCCCAAAAGAGAGTCACCAAGGCATAATCAAACTTGCCAAAATGAAAGATAAAGAGAGAATTTTAAGAGCAGCTAGGGATAAATAAAAAGCCATCTACAAAGGACAGTCAATAAGACTAAGTTGGACTACTCAGCAGAAACCATGTAGGCAAGACGGCAATGAGATGACATATATAAAGCCTTGAAGGAAAAAAAATTTTCAGCCAAGAATTATATATCCAGCAAAACTGTCTCTCAAATATGATGGTGAAATTAAGGCATTTCCAGATACACAGAAGTTTAAGGAATTTGCAAAAACCAAACCAAAATTACAAGAAATACTAAAGGGAGTCCTCCAGTTAGAAAATCAATAACATCAGATAACAACCGAAGACTAGAACATATGATAGAGCAACCAGATATAAATCCAGATAGTCACAAAAATAAATCAAAGCTAAAGCACTGTAAATAGGGAAACAGAGAGGTCAATATGTAAAAGATGACAATATTAGAACAAAAAACAGGGACTAAAAAAATGTAGTCATAGATCTTTCATATGGAGAGGAAGTCAAGGCGATATAAAGAAATAAAAGATTGGTTTAAACTTAGAAAATAGGGGTAAATATTAAGGTAACCACAAAAGAACTAACAATCCTACACATCAAAATTAAAAACACACAGACAAATTGAGGGCTTTCCATCAAAAGAGAACACATTTGTTAGAATCAGAATAACTTAATCATGAAGAAATATTTATCTTAAAAATCCAAAGTTTTATTAAATGAAGAAGTACTATAATAAGTACTTTTTTAAAAAAGCAGCAATTATTTTAAAGACAACCAAAGAAGAAAAAGGAATGCTTGTCTTGCAAGATAGAAGGCAAAATTAAAAGAATATCAACATTATACGTTTGTATTCATTATTATCAAGGACTTCACACCGGCAAAATCTCTTGAATTACAGAAGATGTGCGATAGTGCAATTTCTGGAAAAGGAGCTAAACATGCTGACCAGAAATTCATTACTTCGTGTTTGCTGAGGGAGGCTACAATAGCTCACATTTTTATGCAAAAGGAGGCTAACTAAAGTTTACCTGGAAATCTTCTAATTATTTGGCATAATCCTTCCTTTCTGCAAAGCTGATGCTGTATTTCTGGTAATATGTTTACCTGAAAAGAATGTAAAAGATTCTAGAGTTAGGCATACATAAATGCTGAAGCAAAGAAAGAGCAAAAACCCCAGAGGACATATATATGAAGTATTTTCTACGCTATCCAGACCTTACCTCCAAATCTCTGCAAGTCAACATTGTATACTATATACTAATGTGGTTTATTTGATAACATAAAATAAAAGCTTGTCCTTATAAATCTTTAAAATATTTGGGGACATGTTTGAAAACTTTGCTATATTTAAAAGCCAGAATATTTTCTAGAAATGAAAGGAAATACTTATGCCTTTATTGCAAATTTATTAACAAAAATAACTTGATAGTTGCAAATTTTGCTTTGACAAGAAATAGCAGTAAACATACCTCTAAGTCAACTCAACTCCAAAGCCAAAAAGGCCCTCAGTCTTTTGTTATCAGATAGACCCTTAGCGGTAATTCACTGCTAAATCTGTTTCAAAATTTCAAATATACTCTTCCTTCATACTAAAGTGCATTAATTGCCTCCAAATATAAAACCCAGTTACTGCAATGTTCTATTTTAGCAAAACTGTGTTCGTAAAGAGATTTATAAACATCATAATATATTGTAATGTATTTTTTAACTTATAAAGAGGAGAAAGGCTACAAAAGAGTTTAATTCTCTCCTTTTCTTGTAAACTTATATTTTGCTTAACTAGTTATTATCAACTAAATCGCAGAAATGATACCAAATATGGTAAAGCCTTGTTAAAAACAACAGAAAGAGGTCAGAGTGAATTAGCTTGAAAATTAGATTAGCTTTCAGCACATTATGGATTCCTTCAAATTAATTCGCTCTTAACTAAAAAAGTATTGCAATTTCTCCACTATGTCCTACCATCGTAACTAAAGACGAAGAACCGAACTCAAGTGAGGAGAAGAGAGGGAACCAGAACCATGGGTTGTAGTCCCACTTCAGGCACTTAACGGAAACATAGCCTTGAGTACATCACTTTGCTTCTCCTTATTCCTTTGTCAAATAAAGCACTCAGAGCCATTGCTCTCTAAGGTTCCCTTAAGCTATAAGATTTTATCAATTCACTGATAATTTGTAGTTTAAAAAAGTGATTCATTTTAAGTGCTTTAAAACAGTCCATGGATTAAATATTCTCTAACCTTTACAACTTCATTAACCCAACTCATTTATTCAGCAAAGTCTCTTTCCCCCAATAATAGCTTCAGCAAGGATAAGCTTCAGCCAGTTCCTGTATGAATAAAGCCCAGCTTCAAACAACCCACTCTTGTGACTCTGCACTAGCAATATTTCTAAATACTCCGTTTGGAAAGTCTACAAAGATGCAAGGGTCTAATTTAGGTCACTTATATTCTTTTGCACTGGGAATTGAAAGAAGTCTATAAATATAGTATACTCAGATCTTAGGGACATCTTGTTCTTGTTGTTCGGTGCTGTGGAGTCAATTCTGACTCATAACTAACTTATAGGACAGAGTAGAACTGTCCCATAGGGTTTTCTAGTCTGTAATCTTTACAGAAGCAGATCACCAGGTCTTTTTTGCCTTGCAGAGGTTGTTGGGTTTGAACCACCCACCTTTCGGTTAGCAGCTAAGCACTTAACCATTGCTCCACCAGGGTTCCTTAGGGACATCTACATTCCTCAATTTCAAAAGAGAGAAAAGTTCAGAGACTAAATGTAAGAAAAGAGGAAGGGCTTTCATAAAACCCTGAAGTTTTCCACTCAGAATTCCTGAGAAGGGCTGGAGGAAAGAAAACAGAGCACTGCAAAAGTATCCAGAACCCATAAAATAACTTTTTTAATTGGGAAAACCTTCAAAAGGCAATACAGTTGCAACTCTCCCCATATAAGGCAAAGATCACTCCGTTTTACTGATAATCTTCATGTGGCTTGGCATCTCTCTTCCCCCATGTCTGTTCTTATCTTGCTCGTTTAATCTCTTTTATATCTCAAAAGAGATTGGCTAAAAACATACCCTGCACTAATCCTGTCTCATTAATATAGCAAAGACAACCCAGGCCCAAATGAGATTATAACCACAGGCCTGTGGTGGTGGTTGTTGTGGTTTTTTAAATCATCCTTCTATCTCTGGAGAAAAGCACCCAAGAAAAGGACTAGATACTACCTTTTGTTATTGTTGTTGGGTGCCGTCTAGTTGGTTTTGACTTATAGTATCCCTATGTACAACAGAACGAAACACTGCCCAGTCCTGCACCATCCTCACAATCGTTGTAATGCTTAAGCCCATTGTTGCAGCCACTGGGTCAGTCCATCTCATTGAGGGTCTTCCTCTTTTTTGCTGACCCTCTATTTTACCAAGCACGATGTCCTTCTCCAGGGACTGATCCCTACCGATAACAGGTCTGAAGTATGTGAGATGTAGTCGCGCCATCCTTGCTTCTAAGGAGCATTCTGCTTGTACTTCTTCCAAGACAGATTTGTTCATTCTTTTGGTAGTCCATGGTATATTCAATACTCTTCGCCAACACCATAGTTCAAAGGTGTCAATTCTTTTTCGGTCTTTCGTATTCATCGTCCAGCTTTCACATGCATATAAGGTGACTGAAAACTCCATAGCTCGGGTCAGGTGCACCTTAGTCTTCAAGGTGACATCTTTGCTTTTTAACACTTCAAAGAGGTCTTCTGCAGCAGATTTGCCCAATGCAATGCATCTTTTCATTTCTTGACTGCTGCTTCCATGGGTATTAATTGTGGATCCAAGTAAAATGAAATCCTTGACAATTTCAATACTTTCTACGTTTATCATGATGTTGCTTATTGGTTCAGATGTATGGATTTTTGTTTTCTTTATGTTGTGTAATCCATACTGAAGGCTATGGTCCTTAATCTTCATCAGTAAGTGCTTCAAGTCCTCTTCACTTTCAGCAAGCAAGTTTGTGTCATCTGCATAACGCAGGTTGTTAATGAGTGTTCCTCCAATCCTGATGCCCCATTCTTCTTCATACAGTCCAGCTTCTCAGATTATTTGCTCAGCATACAGACTGAATAAGTATGTTGAAAGGATACAACCCTAATGCACACCTTTCCTGATTTTAAACCATGCAATATCCCCTTGTTTTGTTCAAACAACTGCCTCTTGATCTATGTAGAGGTTTGCCATGAGCACAATTAAGTGTTCTGGAATTCCCATTCTTTGCTATGTTATCCATAATTTGTTATGATCTACACAGTTGAATGACTTCGCATAGCCAATAAAACATAGAGGTTAGGACTTACAACACATATTTTTGGGGGACATAATTCAATCCGTAACATTCTACCCTTTAAACCCATTGCTGTTAAGTCAATTCTGACTCATAGTGACCCTATAGGACAGAGTAGAACTGCCCCCATAGGGTTTCCAAGGAGCGCCTGGTGGATTCAAACTGTTAGCAGCCAAACTCTTAACCACTATGCCACCAGGTTTTCCTTCTACCCTTTGGCCTCCCCAAATTCATGTCCTTGCCACATGCAAAACACATTCACCCCATCACGTCATTGCAAAATCCTAAATCAACTCCAAGTCCAAAATCTCATCTTCTGCATCATCTAAATCAAACATGGATAAGACTTGAGGCGTAGTCCATGCTGGATCAAAATTCCTCTTCATCTGTGAACCTCTGAAATCTAGAATACAAGTTATCTCCTTCCAAAGTACAATGGTACAACAGGCACAAGGTAGATATTTCCTTACAAATAGGAGAAATTGGAGGGAAAGAAGGGTAACAGGCACCAAGCAAATTTAAAACCCAGCAGAAAAAATTACATTAGCTCTCAAGGCTTGAAAATAATCCTCTGTTCTCTGAGACCATCTGGGCAAAAATCCCACCCTTCAGGCTCTGGGTGTTGGCCATGCTTTATGGATTCTGGGTGGAGGCCCCTCAGCCCTGGGCTTCAGCTCTGCCTTCCAGGCCCATTGGGGCAGCAACTCTGCACCCTTGGCTTTGGGTGGCCCCATTCTCCTAGTTCATCTGAGTGGAGACCCCACCCCCTCAGTCCCAGCAGCTTGGTGAAGAACTGACTCTTAAACTTAGGAGGCCATGACTCCACCCTTTGAAACCGATGCAGCCCTGCTTCTCCTGCTCATTTCAACAGTTCTGCTGATCTCCAAGCTTCTCCAGGGATGGTTCTTTTCTTTTCTTGAAGGACAACAGATGTAGCTGTTTCCTGCCTAGAGAATTCCAATAGGCAGACAGCTTTCTTTTCTTTTGTTCTTTTTCTGTCCCCTTTAGTCTAAACTGATGGGTTTTCTGCTGTGGTAGTTGATTAGATCCATCAGTCACAGGCTTAATCTCTTTAACAAATGATTGTGTAGCCACATCCTTGGTGAAAACTCTAGGACACGTGTCTGTAGTTTGTACAACAGAATTTTACAAATGTTTACATTTGTTTTCATTTTGCACAGTTCATTTTTAAGTCTATCTCTTTCCTCTTGAATTTTACTATAAGCAGCAAGGAGAAACCACACGGCCCCTTTAAGATCTTGCTTAGAAATCTCCTTACAAGTTCTACCTTCCACCAAACATTTGAACATAATTTAGTCAAGTCCTTGGACACTGCACAAAAAGAATTGCCTTTCCTCCCTTGTCCAATCACATGTTCATCAGTTTCTTTTAAAGCCTCACGAGAAGCATGTTTAAAGTCCATATCTCTAACAACATTCTGTTGCTGGTGCCATATGTATTCTCTAAGACAATAGAGACTTTCTCTATAGCTCTCCTCACTTCCTCTGAGCCCTCACTAGAATTGCCTTTGACATCCGTAATTCTATCAATAGTCTCTTCAAGGCAATCTAGGCTTTTACTACTAGGCACCTTGAAACTCTTCCAGCCTCTACCTATTACCCAATTCCAAAACTACTTCCACATTTTAGGTATCTGTTAGAGCAGCACCCCACTCTTCTGGTACCAAATTCAGTCTTAGTTATCTAGTGCTCCTATAACAGAAATAGCACAAGTGGGTGGCTTTAATGAACAGAAATTTATTTTCTCACAGTTTAGGAGGCT